ATATAAACTTTATAAAGGACACAAACACAAAGGGTTTTTTAAACTTAAAATAAAAACATGCTTAAAACATTAGCGCTCTCGCAATATTTTGTTTATTTTACAGTGTCTGATAACTGACACCTCTTGCTCTGAATTATTGCATCAAAATGTCTGTGCGGTTGCAATCCTGAGTATGCTGTTTAGGTGTGTATCTGTAAGCTGCAAACGTACGATGATTCAGCAGCAGCAGAACCGGAAGAAGCAGAAGACAGCCAGTTCCATTGTGGACCTGATAGAAGCCCTCTGGGGGCCTCATCTGGCCCCTGGGCCGCACATTTGACACCCCTGCACTAAGGTATCCCTTACAGGGGAACACAAACAAGCAAAAGGAAGGGTGTCTGTTTTACTCCCAAATACTGATTGTAGATGATCCACTAGAGCACTGGAGTCAACCATAACAAATGCTGCTGAAAGATCAAACAGTATCAATCGTGAGGGACTGCCCTTACCCAGGTGTAGCCAGACATCATCAGCCAAGATCAATAGTGCTGTTTTAGTCCTCAACCCAGACTGAAATGGCTCACGGGCAGTTTCACCCAGAAACACCTGCAGTTCCTCGTTCACAACCCGCCCAACCACCTTGCCCAGGCTGATAAGAAGAAGGCCATGGGCAATCATCCAAAGATCCCATTCCTCCTTACATGCCGATAGATTCAGGCAGGTTACATGCAGTTAGCCTGTGGTAACAAATGTTCCTAAGCCACTGATAACTGGGAAGAGCACTGAAGACCTTCAAAACATAGCAGCAGCACTGGGGAAGCATATACCAAGTCCTTGACACTTTTGAGGCCCAGAGAGGGAGCAGATGCAACTACAACAGCACCATACGTAGCACTTCAGACCTGGCCAAGAGTGACAGCATTCTTGCTACCCTCCAGGCTTTGCACAACAAGAACACCTGGGAGAAGTAGTTGTGAAGTTGCCTGGCCATTACCAGAGGGATGTGCCGGCTGAACGGAAAGGTGACAAATGTAAAAATGCACACGGCTTTAACTATTTGCAAAGCTGATCAATTCCACAACCATCATCCCATTATTGTAGAAGAGTGCTCTCCCTGTTAACATTTCTCATGACTATAGCAACTGGTGACCTGAATACATATCTGAGAAAAGGTCTAGCAGCTGTAGAGCAGTTTGCACTCTTATAATCCGGAGAGATTAGTATCTGATGGAGCTGTGCCAGACATACTATGCAGTATCAATACGCAAGACATGCTACCTGTGCCTGTTTATTCATCTAAAACATCCCTACCTGTACAACCAAACCAACATAAGAACATACTGCATAGTGTGGAAAAGTATTTTGCAGTACAGTAATGCGCACAACATCAAGTGGGAAGAAGAAGAAGAGATTGGATTTATATCCCGCCCTTCACTACCCAAAGGAGTCTCAGAGCGGCTTACAAACTCCTTTCTCTTCCCCTCCCCACAACAGACACCCTGTGAGGTAGGTGGGGCTGAGAGAGCTCTTGACGGAACTATGGCTTGCCCAAGGTCATCCAGCAGCTGCAAGTGGAGGAGTGGGGAATCAAACCCGGTTCTCCCAGATTAGAGTCCGCGCATTTAACCACTACACCAAACTGGCTAAGTATCAATCAATCCCCAAAGAGAGGACTCAGTGTCTTATGGGGCTGGTAATTTGTCAGTACGTAGTTCTTCAGAAATTCCACATCCACTGTTCACCTGGAATAATCCTATATGCAATTCACATCACCATTTAGAGATAATAAAACTTTGAACCACGCTGCTAGTTAGGGACGCTTCAGACAAAAGCCAATTACGTCAGGGTGGATCTCGCACAAAATATTTGCCGACCAAAGAGATTTCCCCCCTGCGTACCTCTCTAGAAACAGCATGAGGGGGGGATTCAGCGGTCTGTGGCAAGAAGGGGGAACTGGCAAAACTCACTCCCTACTTCACACCAGAGGCAATCCTACGTCGGACCCAAGACAGTTTCGTTAACTGTTCAGTAACTGCAAATCACAGGGATGCTAGAGGCAGCTTGCTCATTTGCTTAAATGAAGTTTTTAGAAATACTCATTGTGGCACATGCTGCTGCCACCTGCTGGTTAAGTAAGCAAACAGTACAGGCAGGAGAAAATGCAATCTACAGGACTGCTTTTAGACCTGTTCTGCCTTAATCAAGATTCAGATTAACTTTCAGTGTTCTGTAGTCTCACTGCTCTAGAAACTGATCTCTGGATACCATCAAATATTCAGAAGATTCTGAATATTTAACTGGCTTTGGTAACCGGACACTATGAGCTGAAAACGAGAGCTCAGGGCATGTGGATGTGGCTTGCTAAAAAGATGCAATGAAGGTAACACTGGCAAATGGCAGAAACATCTTTGGAAACAACTGCTAACAGATTTCGCCTGGGACCAAAGCAAATCTCTATCTGTTCATGCTTTTAAGCAAAAGGTACAGAGGCCTGTGATTTACTGTAGTTTCTTTTTTGGAGGGGCTATCAGGTCGCAGGTGATGCTCCCTCTAAGCTGTGGAGTTTTGTGAGTGATTTGGCTACTGCATAAATTAGTTTGCTCTGGAGCCATCCTTCCCGAGCGAAGACAAAAATGTGTGAGCCAGAGACTAAAAAACTGTGAGCTAGCTCACACTAACTCAGCTGAGAGGGAACACTGCCTGAGGTGACTTACGGTGACCCCATACGGTTTTCAAGGAAAGAGACGTCCAGAGGTGGTTTGCCACTGCCTGCCTCTGTGTAGCAGCCTTGGTATTCCTTGGTGGTCTCCCATCCAAGTACCAACCAGGGCCAACCCTGCTTAGCTTCCAGATCTGGTGTTGAGAGATACAAAGCCAGACTTGTGGTAAAAGGATTTGCTTAGATTTATGGATCAGATTATGACCAAATTTCCTTAGAACTTTTAAAAAGTTTACAAAGTGCTTGCTTTACATTTCTGGTATAAACCAGACAAACCATACCAAGCCTACCCTAGAGGGCCACTGCATAGCTCATCATAATATGTCCACAAAGTGCTTTCAAGCAGGTCACTGGTTTTACCACTTCACACATCAGCCAAGGAGCTTCACGATGGGTATTTGGAACTATGCCCTACATTGTTAAGTCCAACACTCTTCCACTAAAGCACAGAGGCTGTATTGATCATGAAGTACAAGAGA